CATAAGCAAAGCCATCCAGCTCAGTCAAGAACAATAGCTGGAACTGGAACAACATGCAGTTTTCACAAGATGCAGCAGATATTACTTGACTGGTTTTTACTTCCCATTTTCTTCTTAGGTTCCCTTAATGGACAGATAAGCTTTCCCACATCAAACACAAAATCAGAGCACCCCAGTGCTTCAACCCTCTCAGAGACATACAAATGAATGCACAAAAACTGGCCCAGGTAGAATTTTACTACACACTCACATCCTCGCTACGGCAATTCATTTCATGATCATTCTACAGTAAATACCTGCCTTTAATGATGAACTTGGAAGGGCTGGGGCCTTCAAAAAACAACAATAAAAAAAAGGTCAACAGCAAAGTCACATTTAGCTCAGACATTTTACCTAGAAGTCAGGGCAGTAGCAACATCACATCACCCAAATCCAACATAAAACCAGTATAATAATATTTTGTCTGGAACAATTTCAAGCCTAATACATTGCCCATGCTTAGACTGCCTGCTGCAATAAGTGCAATGGCCTTGCCAAGAAAAAAAAAAGAAAAACAACCAGGAAAAACAAAACAAAACAAAAAACAGGAGAAAAAAAAAGCGATAAATTATTTCCTGTGCACAAAAACCAAGCACATCACTACCAAATCTGTCCTTTATACGAACATCACAAGCTGTCACAGTAGCTGTAGGGGGAACCCTATGAGATATACCGGATGCATCTTCTCAGATAACAGAGAAACAACATCTCTGTTTAAGCATCTCAGTCACCCTCTCTAGCCAATACAAGCAGCACTTGTGAAGCACACACCTCAGGAGAGGCACCATTCTGCTTTCCCATATTTTTCTTTTGCAAATGAAGGTGAGTTTAATTTCTGTTCTCTGCTTATAGAGTAACATACACACCAGAACTAGCACAAACATCAGCATGTATTACACAAGTGTCAAAGAAGGCAGGCAGGCAAATTTTGAGTGGAAATATCAGTGCAGGGCTGGGAACTGGGAGTCATCCACCTTGAAATTCAGGGGGGATGTCACCAAATTCTGTATCCCCTAGAAGCTGCTGTCTCCAATAGTTTTAAAAAAACACTGTCCGATTGCCAGCATCTCACTTTTTGTGGCACCAATAGATCATCTAGATTCCTTTTTTTCACTAAGTAAATTTAAAAGCATGCTTATTTTCAAAGATAAATACAACCTAGTACATTGAGTCTCACAAGTTCCCAATGGCAAAGCTCAGTAACACACACTGGCAATATGTTGATCCTGTGGAGAAATTCCAACATTAACTTCAAACATCTTGGGTCACTGAAAACAAAGAGCAAGAGTCAGCTCCAGATGCTGAAGTTTTGGGTGCATACAAGAGGGCTATGTTACAACTCCTGTCACAGTCAGTGGAATCTAGTGTCACCGAACTGCTTGGATGTCTGCTCCAAACTGAACATGGCTTTTCTCTAGGCTCTAGATAATGACTGTATCAACCACATTACTACACAAGCAGCGAGACTCCTATGAGAAGATCCTATGAGAAGAGTTTGAGGTACTGTTTACACATGAACAACGTAAATACAGACCTGCATTAATTTTGATGTTAACACAATACCTCACTATAATAACTGCATAAAGAACTTGAATTCCAATTTTTACAGCACTGAACCACAGCTACGTTCAACTAAAAAATGCATCTCCTTTGTCAGATATCAAGTGAAATTATATTTTTATTTTAAGGTTCTCTGCACAGGGAGCAAACTACACCAGCATCACAAAAACCCCTAGAGAACTAGTTTACCATAAATTTAAACATCAACTTATTTTTCATAGGCCACTCTATGTCTAAACTTCTAGCTCTCATTACCTGCCGAAGGAATGAAAAAATGGCAGATTTTCAAGCTAAATATGGACTAATCTGCCCATATTTACAGACTAAAGCCCAGGCAGGACAATGCTACCATAAGACAGAATGAATCTTACAGAGGCTGAAGCGCAAGGAGATTAGGGCATTGATCCATTGAATGCAAAATTGTCTGTCCTTTCTTACTGGTATCTGGTGTGTGCAATTCTGATTTAAATGCACAGGCACTCTTCTAGGAGTGTTCATTGACTGATAAACACCAAATCCACTGCTCAAAGGGCCCTCCAAGCTGCTTGGCAAGTGGCTTGGAATCTACAAGGTTAACAAGTAAACAACATTGCTGTTGACATTTTTAACAACAAAAGCAACACCAGTCCAGGAAACTCAAGCCAATCCCCCCCAACCCCCCCCATATAAACAGATGCAGGAATGATCAACACTTTTCCTGCTCCAGAGGCACATAAAACAACCAGATTTTCAAACCAAGAGTGGGCCAGACAGGATGACACTGTGAGAATGATCGAGCCCTGTAGTTCCCACCACTACAACGGGAAAGGTGAGAAGAGACCTTGGGAAGATGCAGATGCTTCAGAGGGAATATTAAGCACAGGCGACAGAATCCATCTGAGGATAGTTTGCTTCCACTGAGAAACCACCCTTCTTTAGACAATGCAGTATATTTCTGCTACAAAAGACTAAGAGGAGCCACCTGGGTGGGAGATAAAGGAGATGAAAATGTTCATTATTTTCCTCTAATGGGCAAGAACCCTGTCACACTTGGACCCCTCTTTTCATAGAGTAAACAATAACCTTAAACTGAAGTGCAGATTGAGAGCTATGTAAAATTATTCCTGATTACATTTTTAGAAAATTTTAAAACATAAAGCTGCATATAGAATATTAAATGGGACATTTTGGATATACAGAGCATGTTTTAGGTATACATAACGGTTAAATATTTAAAATATGGGACTTGTGCAACAATTTCAAATTGCTTACAGAACTTGTGAGTGATAAACAGTGCAAAATTAGTTTTACATTAGCCTTTAAGGTTTTAATATAGAAAACAACGGCAAACAGAAATTATAGTAGAAAATAATAAAACAGTAATGAGAAGGTATCTTCCTAATTGATCACTTTTATATGACTTCCTGGAGGACCAGCATCAATCATGCTTCTATGCCAAAACAATGCTGGCACACTGCCAGTGAAGATTCAGATCAGGGCCACTGATTTGATTTATTCCTTTTCGGAAATCAGTGGAATGTACAGTCAATTTTTGACTGTTAAACACAAATTTTATATGGAATATAATGAAGCCAGGTTATCACTGTTATACTTATGACAGAAGGGAAAACACATTTTAATCTACTTCATTTTGAGTGTGCAGTCAGCCACCTGTAAGTACTGAATTGACAGGCTGCAGTCAGTAGAATTTGCTCCCAAGAAACACGTGATTTCTAGTTATCACAGGATGAAACAACAAGGTATGTACATGTCTACAGACCTTTATTTAGATTACAGTCTCACATCTGTAATCAGTTTACTCAAGTAGCCATTCAGAAGCATGATGTTGCTGATAAAAATTGACATGGGTTTCAGCATTTTGTGACACAAACAAAAGTTCCTTTTCCTCAGCTACCCTATAATACTTTTCCACTGCAGGAGACTGGGTACTTCTTGCTGTGTCACACCTTGCTGCACATGAAAAAGCCCTGTCAAAACAGGATATCCACGACAATCCTTTATCTTATGAACGTGAAAATACAGTCCACATACCTAAGTAATAAGAATGGCTTTAGATGCCTGCATTGGCTTAGTCTTGCCCCAGTAAGCCTGACATATAAACAACAGTCCTTTGGGACACTGTTTATTATGGATTTATTAGAAACCTTGTCAATAACTTAGTTGTGCTTTTGATAATTCTATATTTGGTTGCTAGAAGACTTGTGTTCCTGATGAGATAAAATGAACAGGAAATCCTCTATAGCTTTGTGACTTTTTGCACTAGTAAATAAAATGCAAACAACTGATACAAAATACTGGCTACTGTTAACAGAAGAGAGAAAAAAAGACAAGCATTGCATATTTAAAATAAAGGAACATATAGCCCTTTTTTGCCCTCTCCAACTAGAAGATGATAAAAGATCACCTTTATAAAGCAGAATGACCGGATTTTGTGGAACGTGGCTTTTTTGGCTCCAAGGTATTTGTAGCGCTGTAGTATCAGAGCCAGGATACAGCTGCCTTGTGACTAAGACATCGTTCACTGAATAAGTGCTATCCAATCCCTCAACGTCACCAGACATCTGTTTCCTGTTTTCATTCTTTCTTTCACTGTTATCATTTTATCCAAGTTACCCTTTCACCTGAAAACCATTTAGAAACCTACAGAAACCAGCGTGTGCACGCGTGTGTGTATCAAAGAAGTAGATTCTGAAAAAAAACTTGCTGAGAGCAATTTGTTCATTTTAATACAAAGAGCAGAAATGGAAACAAACTTGCCTTCCCCCGTCTTCTCCTCCCCAAAATACACAATGATACATAAACACTTTTGTCTTCTGGTCTTCACTAATATGACTAACTTCCTTCTTCACTTCCAGTTAAGTAGCTTTCCTGTTGAGTACCACCACCTCCACAAAATACAATTGTGAATTGATTCATAAAAACAGAAACATTATAGCACAAATAAGGGAAGGCAATAAATACTCTTCCCCCTCTCCAACTCCTTCCCAAATGGAGGCAGTAGTAATATTGCTATTGTAAAGTTATTGTAATAACAAAAACTTGAAAAAAAAAAAAGAAAAAGAAAAAAGTATTGCTTGTCATTTAAGGTTCCAAACCAACAATCATCAGGATGCAGAACAGGATACATCTAAAGTGAGAAAGTTATTTACTTCACATTCAAGTTAACACCAACTGTACTTTTTTTGGCACACAGTATTATTCTTAATGTGCCAAAAAAGTGTTGGACAGCTTATAAAATATGAACGTTAATGCCACTAAAACAAAATTCTGCTATTCAGAGTCCAATTCTATATTGCTGTTGTTTTGCTACGTTTCACCTAGACTTAAACCCCAAGCCAGGGGAATGACCATTACTGATAGCATTTAACACACATTAACAAGGAACAATAGAAGCTGAAGAGTAAGTTTTCAAAATTTGGCGACTTTTTATTCTTAATCTCTTGATTTCAGATTATTTCATCAGAATGAGAAGACATGTTTTATTTTGTTCTGTGATTACAGATGGTCATAATAATTAATAAGGCAGGTTGTTGAGTGAAGGAAAAATCTGGGCTGGTTGACAAACACCAACAAAAATTCATCCACTTCATTTTACTGTCCGAAAGAAAAAGAAGATTTTTCTTAAATCCTTCCCCATTGAGGTATACCAGCAAAATACAGATGTTACACAGGAGAAAGAGGAGATTCTAGCACACAGAGGACTTTCCCTATGAGATGGGATGGTCTGGCAGCTACAGAAAACTCTAAGTAGCATTTCCAAAGGCACATCAAAATTGGAAAGCAAGATGACATCTCATGTTCTGTTCTCCTGAACTGTTTCCTGCATTCTTATAATCAAATTATGACTATTTTAAAGCCAAATTCAGCTTCCATTAAACCACATAATTATGAAGCAGCTCATGAACCTCCAAGCAGTCAGAGCACATTCTGATCCATCATCTTGGTCTCCTCTCTCATCCCTCTTTACCGTCTGGTTCACAGTTTCAAATGCCCAGCTCACACAATGCCCAGTGCTTCCACACAAAACCTACAATACTCCTGCATAGTAATAATGCAGTATTCTGGGGAGACTGATAAAACAAACCTTTTTTGAAGAAAATTTTTCAAGACTTTATCAAGTTGGTGTGATTAAAATGCTGTCTCCCATAAACACAGTTTGCTCATAACTTTTCACAATATTTAAATTAATTTGTCCACTGTCACACATGCAATCTGTGATCAAGCTGAAAACTGACTTCTGACTGTGTACTTTGTCCATTGCATCCCCATCCTTCATAATCTGCTGTCACTGTCATTCACTGACTCTGGATTCTGCTATGCATTTTTCATTAATAAGATTACATTTGTGCCAGGACAAGTTTTAAATTCTGAATAATAAAAGCCATTGAATTAAGACAGCTATCTTCCCCCCCTCAGCCCCAAATTTAGGCAGAAAGTTATGTTAAACTGCACACTCTGTCCTCCTCAATTGCACATGAAGAAATAGAAAAATCAAGATCTCTCAAGCTCTAGTGCTATTGATGGCAATGGCAAAATCCAAAATATAGCTATGAAATGGAAGAGCTTAGTGCAATCTTTAGTACTTTTTAATTTCTGGTTCTTTTTATTTTTCCCCAACCAAAAGAGCTATTCAAGTTACATTTTCTAGAACTTTTATCTAGAAATTTTATGTAATATGACTGGCAAACTAATTTTGGTTTTGTACAGTCATGTTTCCGATTTTAAACTGAGAGGGGGAAATATCAACTAATTATTAGGTCAAATGACTCTGTGGAATTATCCTCCGAAACAAATGCAAAACCGAAACCTTTTGTCTGAAAAAAATAACTGGCAAACCACTGGAAGAGAAAGTGCCCAGACCCACACTTTATGTCAGACTCCACACTGTTTTCAAATGTTAAGACTTCTGATACACTCTATTATGACAATAAAAAAGTTGAGAGCTACACCAGAAGATTACATGAAGAAAAAAATGTTTTTTTCTAGTATAATAGGAATCTTAAAAACAAACAAACACACACCACTTCTACCCATTATTTCATACCCAGATGTTTCCTGTACACCTGCAATTGTGTCCAGTCCTGAATTCATGAGCTGTAGTATTTCAACAGACTCTCATCAGTTGGTTTCAGAATTTTCTTGTCTGCCAGGTTTACGATCCATCCTGGAGCAAGACCAAAAAATATCTGTCTAGGATCCTTGCGTGCACTTAACATCTTAAAGAGTTCATCCTTAGTTATGTCTGGTAAGACATAGCCATATTTCTTGGCAAGTTCCAGCCTGGCTTCTGCAACCTTAGATGGATCTGCCAGGTAGCCCCGATTCCTGGGATCTGTGTAGTAACGGACGAGGTCTTCAGGTGGGAGCATTCGCTTTGGGATAGGTTTGCCACGCAGGAAAAATACTACTGGCTTGCACAAAATTTCTGTGGGCAAACAAGAGAGAAGATTAGTGACTGCACTTTAAATCTCTGTTATTAAGACTGTTGTATTCCATTTTATTTAAATGGTATGCTCTGTCTCACCCCTCTGAAATGTATGGTACATTCTAAGCCTGTGGTCCTGCCCTGAACCCTCCTGTATCTGTCATCCCATTGGCCCAGGTCTGATTCGGCGCCCACTTCAATTCCCCTCTTAAGCTGTGCTAGGGGATCAGTCTGGCTCTTAGCCCTTCCTCTCTCTCAGCCTCTTCCCCCCTCTTGCCCCTTCCCTCCCTGAGGCTCCCCCTCCTTCCCCCTTTTCCCTCAGTAGCCATGCTGTACCCGGGGTTGGGACCCCAAATAAACCTTCATCTCCTCAGCACCCTCAGAAGCCGTGTGGAGTCTCCTTGCCTGCCTGCTGCTGCCAGCCAACTCACAGCCTAGGGGGCCCTCCGGGGACCCCCCGGGGTGCCCCACCTCAAAACGCACCGCAACATAAGACCTTAAATGACATGTTCTTATTTTGTGCTAAAATAGTTACTACATTTACACCAAAAAGGACCAAGCAAAAAATTGAATCTCAAGAATATTCTTGTTCAGAATCATGGTTTGCAAGTTTCACTTAACCACACAAAAAACTCTGCTTTAACTGATATTTATAATGCCAGTCTGGAGGAGTTGCTACTTCTAATACATTAGAATGACTATCTGGGAAAGATAACTGAACTTATTTAAATTATTATTTCCAGGTTTGAAGTGATGCATTTTCACGGCTATTTACACAGTGTACCAACTAATGTCAAATTTAGTGCTTCTGTTAAGTATTTTGAATAAACATGCACCTATTTAGTCCTTTGTGGGATTACCTTCTCTTCCTCAAATTTTACTGATTTTGACAAATTATATTCCAGAACCTTTTAACCTTATTATTTTTATTAGTTTGTGGAATGAAAAAAATCCCAGAACTTGTATCAGCCCAGGGTAACATATTTTGCACACTAAAAATGCCTATTCCTCTCCTTCTCAGCCTCATTCACACATGAAAGCTGCATTATTGTCAATAAAAACTGCATGAATGAATGTTAGGCAGGATGCAGCCTCAAGCAAAGCAAAGCCTCATTCTTCAGTGAAAGTGTTCTGAAAACAATAGCCATTTTAACTGGAATGATTCTGAGCTTCTGTAACTTACTTCCTCACTTTAAGTGGAAAAGCATTTTACATTAAAAATGTAAACATCCACAGTGTTTTTTAAATCTATTTTTTCCTGAGTTTTCTTAGTGCTATTAAACATGGGAAACAGAAGACAAAAATCCAGCAAAACAATATTTTTAGTTCCTCTATTTACAAAGCTATTCAGATTTCCTTAACTGGTTGATTGGTATACAACTACTAACACTGGAAGGGCTAAAGAGGTGAATGGTTAAAAAAGGCAAAATTGAGGATGCATTATCATTCCTCATTGAGGGCTGGAACTAGATGATTTTGAAGGTCCTTCCCAACACAAAGTATTTTAGAATTCTATAAACATACATGTAACTGGTTTTGAAACTTTTAGAAACTGATGACCTTCTACTAAGAATTGTGTGTGAAACTTTGATTTGGTTCATTTAATCTTGGCACATCCAAAAAAAAGAAAAAAGGCAGAAATTAAAATAAGTTCTTACCCAAGCTCCTTGGGTCATAGAACGATGTTGTTACTACGCCTCCGTTTTTTTCTATGGCTGCAATTGCTAATTCAGATGCCCTCTGCACTTCAATATTTACTTTTGCTGCAAAAATATCAGCACCCTGTAAATTTCAACACATATTACAGTAACATTAAAATGAGTATTTTAAGACAAACATTTATTCTTCTCTGAAAACTTGTAAGGAACATTAAATCCTGCCAAAATACTATGAATTGTCTGTTCCCCGCAAAAAGTTAGGTAACCAAGTTGCTCTCAGTCACTTGGGCTGAATAAAAAAACCTTTCAATTCCCAAAATATTAATACATTTTTTTCAGTACATTTGAGTTTTCTGTTGTAAAATACCTCTTCAGCCTTTTGTTATGTACTCCTTAACCCTGATTTCTACAGTCCCTTGGGTATGAAGCCATCCTCCCGAGTCATTTCTTTTTTTGCTGACACACAGTGCCCTCTAGTGGATTTATGATCCACAAAAGTCCCACAGCAAACTAACTTGGAGAATCAAAGATGCTTCCAAACCACGGGAATGACAACCTGAAAGCCTGAAGTAGCAAGTGTGTTGTCTGCATACCTCCTCCACCAGCTGGACACCGTAATCTCTCTTGAGAGGCTGCACTGTCACACCTCTGGCGTTAGTGAGCTGAGTTAAGTCAATCGGCTGCGTGGGGTCAACTCTGCCCAAATCAATCAGGTACTGCAGCCTCTGAAGACTCAGAGGCTGGTACTGACGTCTGAGGCTGGGGAGAGAAAGACAAAAAAAACCCAAACCACCCAAACAAAACAATGAGAAATTTACAAAACTGAAGTTTTAATAGCAACTGGTCAACTGAGATATTCTGTTTTTTATCTACTCCTAAACCAAAAAAATACTAAGACATGACAGTGTCAACATTTCTTGGCAAGCTAACAAGACTGTAAACAACTACCACTTTCAAAGTGAATCCACCTTGGGTGCTTCACTGATAGACTGTCAAAAAACCAAACATCTCCTCCCATACAAACACAGTCAAAGACTATCAGCAAAATTCTGCATGCGCATAGCTTACATACAACAAGATTTTCTCATCCATTGCTACTGCACCCAACATCTCAAAGTATTGAAAGGAATTTCCCTAAAAAGACCATCAAGGAAATATTGATAAAATATGCATTAACCCACATTCCCCAAAGGGAGCTGGAATCTCTTGTCAACAGCCATTGGCTTCAGCAGAACCTACTTTTGTACTCAAGTTTTAACTTTACTGTACAAACCAATCCCTAGCACAGTTTTCCAGTGCCAGAGTCTATTCCTGTCTATGCTGATACCCAAAAATCCTCCTACAATCCATTTGATGGCTGCTATTGAAAGGCTCTGAGTGGCAGCTCACAAACTGAGAAGCAGCTGATCTCTGCTACTGGCAAGCCACTTACAAAGGACAAGCAACAAGAATTTGTGCTGTCAGACAGCCCCTTACAGAGAAAGGGTTCAAGAAGTGGAGGCAGAAGGAGGAGTGAGGTACAAATAAACAGGCAGAGACATTGTTCACGTGCTCCCTCCACCCCAACAGCCACTCGAGTGCTCTTCAGTGCTCGCCACAGGAACATTTACAGCAGCCTGACACTGAATTTTTGCAAACAACATTGAAACTACAGAGTACTTTTTTTTTGCTTTCACATGCTGTCAGATGTTGTTAAAACAGCAAGATCCTAATAATTTCTTGTCACTGCAGGAGGCTGGATTTTTGCTATTGATTATCCATGAAGTTTTGACCACTATCACCACAAGAAGCTGAGTGTCTGCATTCTGCAGCGTTTCCTTTGCAGGACTGTGGATTTACACTCTGCCTTCAGCTATTGAAAGTGCTTCTTGTTTACTCTTACAATAATTTAGCAAACAGGAGGAAATAACAGTACCTGGAAAGAGAATTTGAGTCACATTTCAAAACTATTAAGATTCAGAGGAAACCCTTAAACTGGGACAAGTCTGTAAGTTCTACTGCATGCATTAAGAATGGAAATATAAAAGTGCTCAGCTGTTTGATGAAGTGGTATCAGGAAATGGAACATTAAATCAGGTCTAGCAATTCACAAATACACATTATCTTTTCATCCTTGAACTGCCTGCTCACTGTAGCAGGCTTTTGTTACTATTGCCTGTAACAGCATTGTATGGACACAGAAGTTTGCAAGACCAGATCAAAAAGCAACAAAATGGTTGCTGGCCCAGGTAACACAAATGCTATCTGACGAAACAAACCCAGCTTTCAAAAAATTTTGATTAATTTTAATAAAAAAATTTTTAATTATCAATATAAGTGAAGGAAAATTGGAAAATACTGACACACACCTCTCCAGGTAAGAGCAGTGACTGGAGAAAAGAAATGTTAGAAGAATAACCTCAAACATTAAAAAGGTGGAATAAGGACACAACACAAACAAGTACAATGTGAAAAAAGGACAGAAGCATTAAACAAGACAAAATGCCCAAGGAGAACAATGGAGAAAGGTGATTTAATGCTTCATCCAGCAGATTTGGTATTAAAGAGCTTGTTAGGATCCCAGACGTAACAGGGAGGGCACAGACAGACAAACACCAGTGTCAGAGGGCTGAAAAAGGTAGAAGCACGAAGAGATGCAGAATTGTTTGCTGGCACCAGATCAGAGCTTCTGGTGAATAAAGTGAGGAGAAACAGCAAAGCAAGGCTTTGGATTACTCTTCCATGCCCAACATCCTCACTCCGGTCACTGGGACTCTTCCCAGTCAGCTCACTGGGTTATGAAGCAAAAATAAAAACAGGCAGGAATGAAGGAATAGTTTCAGAGGAGAAATTCACTCAGCTGGAAGAGGAAAGGTAGTCTGCTACACGTGAAGGATTATGAGGAGAAGAGAGTAAATAAGCAGATGTGTAAAACAGGAAAGAATTAATTAAAAGAACAATCTCACTAGAAATGGGAGATTCTTCTGATAAAGTAGCTAATAACCTGAGAGGAATTTGGGAAGCTGAACTTTTCAGTTTAAATAACAGGCCTGTTTTGGCATCCTAGATTCTTGCTTCAGGAGAAAGATCAAGAAATGCAGACAATGACTAATTTTCAAGTAAACATTTAGCAACTTACCTATGTCCCTCATTAAATCCATATTTTGGTATGGCCAAGTAGAATGGAGTCTGGCCACCCTCAAAGCCCAGTCGGGGCCGATTCCCTCTTTGCCTTTCTCCTTTGTGACCTCGGCCACACTTCCTACCTCCGTACCTTCCACGGCCTCGTCTTCTTTCCTTCAAAACAATCAGTGATACATTTAGACAACTACTGCAGAGGCCAGTACCTACAAAAATTAGATTTCAGAGACATAAACAACTGAGCAAAATGCTCATTCTTGAGAAAAAAATTAAGTTATAGATGTTTTCTAAGTGGAAAAATAGAAAAGCAGTTAATGTGATTTTTGCAGAGCACAGCTTTAGGCTGGCATCACAAATAGTCTGGGGATAAATCAGCTGCCTTTGGTGGCAGGGATGGTTGAGTCTGGCACAAAACTGCATATGAACTCCATACTATTCATTAGTCTTCAGCACTTTTAGGAGAGTGCTGCTTGCTGTTCCTTTCTCTGTTCCTATGGCCTCAGCCTTTAAACTTCATCTCCCTGTTCACTAATATTCCCCCCAAACCACAAGAATTTCTCCCCGGTTTCTTTCTGTAATTTCTCTACCACTTTATAAGGAGACATCACAGGTTTGTTTTCGAGAAACACTAACAAGAAGGTCAGCTGGCAGCACATGCCTTTTCTCTGTGCACCTTCTAACCTTCCATTTCCAAACATATTACTCCATCCCATAAACACCTGGAGTTCGAAGCCTTTTACCATTCCCGTCCAGCCCCAGCAATGCCCTGAGGCTCAGCCAGCACCAGCCATCGCCCAGCTCTGTGGGGATGGCCACACGGCACGCAAAGGGCAAGCGGCGGGCCAACACACACACAGCAGTGCCATCCTCTCCTCTGCCTTTCCACGCCTCCTCTGGCCAGGCCGCTCTCCCGGCCGTGCCAGGGCCGCGTCCTTCTGCCAGCCCTGGGGCAAACCACACCGCGACGGGGCACAGCCCTGCCGCCACGGCCCACCCGGCAGGCCGCAGGCACTCACCCGCTTTTTGGAGCCGGGGTTGGGCCTTAAGTTGGCCAGGCTGACCCTGGGCAGCGATCGCAGCAGCTCCAGGGCCCGGTTCGCGCCGCTCCCGCTCATGGCCGCTCTCTCCAAGGGCGCCCGCGGGGAGCGCGCCCGGCCGCGGCGCTTTACGGCAGCGCCGCAAAGCGCACCTGCCGCGCTTTGGCAGCGGTGTCGCGCAGGCGGCGGCGGGCGGGCCCGGTGTTTCGGAATTCCAATGGTTGGGAACGGGGCGCCCGTGGCGTTTCGCTTTCCAGCTCCTGCTGTTTTACTGAGCCCTCAGCCGAGTGTTCCCAAGCCGAGTCTCTAAAACCATCGGGCTGCATCTAACCCCGGCTGGCCCGTGGTGCGCCGAGCCTTGCTCAGCTGCCCCCGTGCAGGTACTGGAAATATCCACTGAGGTGGAAATTCCCCGGCTTAACCCCGGGCAGCAGGCAAGCCTCACACGGGCTCACCCCCACCACCGGGGTCGGGGAGAGAACTGGAAGGAGAAAAGGTACAAAACTCGTGGGTTAAGACAGATTACTAGGGAAAGCAAAAGCTGAGCATCCAAGCAAAGCAAAAGAAGGAATTAATCCACTTTTTACCATGGGTAGGCAGGTGGTCAGCCATCTCCAGGAGAGCAGGGCTTCACCACGTGTAATGGTTACTCGGGAAGACAAACACCATCACCCAAAACATTGCCCCCCTCCTTCTCCCTCCTCCCCCCCCCCCCCCCCCCACTTTATATACTGAGCATGATGCCATAAGGTCTGGAATATCCTTTGGTGGTTGAGGTCACTTGTCCTGGCTGTGTCTCCTCCTATCCTCCTATGCATTCCCAGTCTTCTCAAGAGCATGGCAATGTGAAAAGCAGAGAAGGCTTTGGCTCTGTGTAAGCCCTGCTGAGCAATAACAAAAACATCTCTGTATTACCCTTGCTGTGTTCAGCACAAATCCCAAGCTGAGCCCCTCACCAAATGCTGGGAAGAAAATTACTGCAGTTAAGACGGAGACAGAGACGTTCCTAGTGCTGCTGCAGTACTTGATCACATCTATTATTTCAGTCTGTTAAATTTAAATGTGTTCCTAGTGGAAAACCATACAGCAGCTTCCTTCGGTGTATTGGTGTGGTGGGAAGGGTGTGTGGGGTGCAGGTTCAGTGCAGTGAAAAACTGAATTGTAAAAGCTGCCATTGTGGAGTTACAGAGCAGAGAGGACAGCTCCCAGTGTGGAAGCTGATACTCCTCAGTGTAATATCCTGCTCTCCATCCCGAAACTTCTGTTTGACAGTACCTTCTTCCATGTCCAATGTCTGCTTCAGATTGGAGAAGGGATCAGGCAGCAGCTCTGCCAGCTCTGAGAATAAATGGAGGTAAAATGACAATCATGCTGCAGAAATCTGTGAGTTTCAGTATGAAATCTGTGTAGCTTCTTACCCCCTTCAAAAAAATTAAGAAAAATTACATTGTAACAATATACAAGATGCTGGCATGGACAACCATCTTATCTAAGCCCGTTTTAGCCTCTAGGGCAGGGAAAATGACATAATTTAAATCATGCTTTGCCTTGTAAAACTCTCACTGCTATAAACAGAAATTTCAAATCAGGTACCTAAGATAGATATCTAAGATGTCTAAGATAGATATCTCACTATAATAGATAGGTACCTAAGATAGATATCTCACTATGAAGAGACAGCCAATGTACCAGGTTTTGAAAGGTTTGCAGCTCAGGCATTTTCAGCAATTCCTTTGGCATTCCTGAAGGTCAGTTTGTGGAACACTTGTCTGTGCCCAGCAGACTGCCCCATGCCCAATCCATGCAGAGCTCACATTTCCCCAGTGCCCCCGGGGCCATGCTAGCAGCAACTGGGAATTCAGGTAAGATCACTCCAGCTCTACTGACTAAAATATTGAAATCTTGTTCTGTTTATTAGCAGACTATTACTTCTTAGGCTGGAGGTTCAGCAGCAGCTCACCTTATGGAAGTGACATTTACATGGTAAATAGCAGAGATGGAAAGCAAAATTTTGTTTGTGTCCCAAAAAGATGATCTAGAGGAAGAGTCAGGTTCAGCATACTTAATAAGCACCTGACATAATGTGCAGCTCCTAATCTTTGAAGAATTTTTAGTGCATGAACTGTATTTTCTTAACAGACTTGAGCTGGGTACAGTACATGAGGCAGGAGCACATGCTAAATTAGAGACAAATCAAACCACAAAAAGTTACCTGTGAAAATAATCAATTTTTTGCAATAACAGGGATGCCCTGGCATCAATACTACGTATCGAAGCAGCCTAACAATCATGGCAAAAGAGGATGTGTATTTAATGTCACACAGCTGCCATAAAGGCTCTTCCAATAGATTTTATGCAGCCAATGCTGGTGATGATGAGCAAAAGCTGTGTGAAAAATGGTCCCTGTTTGGTATGGAGCACAGCAGTGGGAAGGATGTGAAAGAAGCATAGTGTGTGTTCAGCTGCTGTTGGAGCTGCCAAACAAGCATCCACGGCAGCACTTACCAGCCGGCAAACACAATGAGCATATTGATTTTCTGGGAGTAAATATCTGACAAAGATGTATGGAATAGAAGACAAAGAACAAAGTATTCCCTTCTGATAGAAATGTGTTTGCCATACATATTCAGAGTTGGTCTAAGTATTTGGAATGGACTGGAATGATCCAGTAACTTCAACCAGAGTGCCTGAATAGCCTAACACATTTCAAGATGAGTAAGAATCAGTGACTTGGGAGCTGTAAGCCGAGAGATTTAATTCGGCGGTGGAGGCATCTGACCCGATGAGTGCAGATGAGCCCCGTCTAGCCCCGCTGTTTGCTATATTGGTGCTGCTTTTCCTGCCATCCCGTGACTTAGCCTTTTATATTTCACCTATTTAAAAATACCGTAATTTCCTTTTTCCCCCGGGCCTTATAGCACAGCACAAGGCGCCCCCCCCGCTCCTCCCGCGGGCGGCCCGGCCCGGCCCGGCCCGGGCGGGTCTCTCCCCTGCCTTCCCTTCCAGAGGCGGGCCGGGCTCGGCACCTGGAAGGTCAGCGGTGCCCGCGGGGAGCGGCCGCTGATGGCGGCGGGGCCGGGAGGGGGAAGTGAGCGGAGTTTTCTTGGGAGAAAGTGGTGCCGCGCTCCGAACTGCGCCTGACCTTGGGTGGGCTCGTGGGCGAGGTGCGCGTGGTTGTTCAGTGATCCTAAACCTCTGCCTTTGTTGTCTTTTTTTCTTTTTTTTTTTTTTTTTTTTTTTTTTTTTTTTTGTGTTGTTGCTCTTTTATTTCCCTCAGGTCATTTTTCTTCACGGATTAGGAGATACCGGGTGTGTATTGTGATCTATTGCATACTCAGTAGCTATTATACTTTCAAATATAACCTGCATATTTTAAACACGTGAGCAGTTAAAATTTACTTAAGCTTCTTATTTTGCCCTTTACTGAATGCAGCAGCCAACAGCAGATAAAACTTCACGTGTCCTGCAATGATGGTGACAACTGTGTAATTAAAATTTTCCACCAAGTCCTTGAAAACTTTACTCACCTAATTTGGTTTGAATGTGATCTCTCTTTTGTTCCTGAGACAAACTTCGTAGAAAAAGAAGTCTGTGGTTTTTTGATCATTTGCTTTCCTGAGAGTGGGTTTCTGGTTATTCCTGTGTTTGCCTAAATTTAAAGTTCTTTTTTATTCCAGACTTCTGGATTGTTGGTTTGCCAATAGCTGCAGTTTGTCCGTGGTTTCTTCGTTAATATGTCATACGCTAAAACCCAGACCTCTTTGATTTACATAAGCAAACTCCAAATTAGTCACCTAATGTCTGCAGATTTCTGACAGTCTGAAATACGGTCTTCAGACTCCAAAAAACGCCCCTCCAAATAAAATGTGTAATGCCCTGTTGCCTTGTTCCTGTTATTTCTATGTTTGAGTAGAAATGGAAAGAGTAGGGAATTTCTGGGAGGCATTCTAGCTCTGATGTAATGTTTCCTTTTGAAGCTTGTGTGTGCCCAGAAATAAGCATGCATTCATTAAAGTCGTTGAATTAACTAGTTAAGGGAGTGTTGAAGCCTTTTTAGTGGAAGACTTTAAAGGAATTGGCACTTAGATACTGAAAATAAGTAGCATGAATGCTTTGTCTGTTGTGCTCCTTTGAGCCAAAATTACATAAACTTTTTTAAGAACTTTTTTTTTTGTTACCTGGAACTTGAATGTTGCCTCTAGATTGAAACTTGCTGTGTTATTTTTTCCAAAGTACTAACTAAAATTAGCTGTCAGAATTAAAACTTGCATAACCTGGGCATTTAGTAAGTTAGAAAAGAGTCAAGTCCATGCACTTGGCAGTATTCTACAAGTGGAGGTTTTGCTCTGATTTGTTGTGCTTACACAACACCTTGTTTGCATTACCCCTCTTCCTTTCTGCTGGTAGGATGCAGCTGAGGCAGCAGTACTGCCTGCATCTTGGCACCAAATGCTCAGCAAGTGATTGCAGAATCTTTTGAGATTTTGGAATTTGAGTTCTTGCAAATTGGCTTGGTGTTTGTTTTGGCAGGGGCTAAAAAACAGAGACTTTCTCTTTAACCTGAGTTGTATTCCCCGGACAAGGTGGCATTTCCATTTCACTGTTAGAGCTAATGCACAGCCTCAATCTTGCAAATGCAATGAGCATACTGGAAGGTCTGCATTTGGCAAGACATGACATCTCTGTGGAAATAGAGTGATTTAGGTGTATTTCTTCTTCTAATCTGCTGCAGATTAGATTAGATAGACTGCCTTTGACATACTGTTGTTTCTGGTTTTTTAAAGTAAAAGCTGTAGGAGTGACCCAAAAAATTGTCTGAAGCAAACTTATTAACAATTTTATAACTTCCTCCAGTTTAAACTGACCTGTTCCACTTCACATGAATTTCTAAATTGATCACTTCCATTTACCAGCTGCATTTTTCTTACTCTGGAAAGCGTTTGACAGAGGTTACATGCTTTTTCTGTCTTAGCTCCTGTATACACGGCACTCAAAGATTGAACTTGTCAAAATCTGAATAAAAGGTGCAGCATAGAGAATTGTTCTAAGGAGTCTGCATTAGTATGTACACAATGTTGCTTTTCAAATTTGTCAACTTAAGCTTCATAATTGGCTAAAAAATGTCCCTAAATT